ACAAGCCTTCCGCTGTGCTATCTTGTACTACGTGAGAGAGGTCGGTTCTTGTTCTGGTCTGCACTTTTACAGTATGCGACACCAGCATTCAGCCACGAAAAAAAACAAAAAAAAAACAAGATATCGGTGTTCACCTAGGGAGGGAGCATGTCAGGTGAAAAAATAATATCCGGCTTGGGAGGTAGAGTCCCCAAAAATCTGTCAAAATTTGGGAAAAGAGACAGATTTCGGACCAGACTCTATGGACATGTCCCCTGAACCGATAGATTTTTGCACCAGAGAGAGGCCATCCAATGGGTGAAACTCCTCCCCCGAAACACAATGAATGGCAATAATTGATTTCAACTGTAAATTTAACATTAAAAAAAAAGAGTCATCGCCAGACTTACTTTTGAAACAGAAAACTCAGCACCAGAAAGTCACGTAATAATTGACTTTGTTTTTAAACAGAAAAAAAGTCAACTCAACACCATAAAGTCATGTAATTGACTTAGTTGAAGTTAGTTCTTAAACAGAAAAGTCAACACCAACAGCTAAGAGTGTGCATCCTACAGTTGAGTTTAGTTTTTAAACAGAAAAAAAAGTCAACACCAGAAAGACATGTAATAATTGACTTAGTTTTTAAACAGGAAAAAGTGGACACCTTAGTTTTTAAACAGAAAAGTCAACACCAGAAAGTCATCACTAATATACCAACAGCTAAGTGTTGTGTATCAGCAGGTCCCTCTCAAAGCCATCCTCGTCGTCACCAGAGAGACCCACGATGCTTTCACCATAAAAGCTAAAACCCTGCAGCTTAACCCTGAAATTCCCCAGACAATAACCCACCCTCTATCTAAGCCCCGCTTAACCCCTCAGGCCTACTCTCCTAAGGCCCCTAAAACCTGAGCTCTTCAACTCTTTTCACTCTAAGAACCCTAATGCTCCTAAACCTAAGTATCTATTCCCCTTTTGCCCCTCAGCCTTGTGTTCCCACCCCCCCTAAACCCCTAGGCCCCTCACCTCTATTTGCCCTAAACCCTTCAAGCTCATCTTAACCCCGATGCCCCTACATCCACCACATATCTTATCCATTGAATCCGGCGCCCCTCAACTCTTAACTCAGAACACTTCGCATCATTTCTAACAGCAAACACTACTGTAACTCTTCAGGCCCTCGAGCCAAAGTCCAAGTCTCTAAACCCTTAAACCCTAACCCTAGCCAGAAACACTAAGCTCTAGCCTCCTTCAACCAACTTGAAGTAGTCCACTTGACGGCACCTAGAAAACCCCCACACCCCAGAACCCCAAGCTTTTAAACCCTAAAAAGGCAGGAACATCCACCTCTGACCACCCATAACCCCTAGGCACTCGTAGCCTCCCCACACCTCCAGCCCCTCATCTGAAGCGCAAGCCAAAAACACCTTCCACATTTGACCCCCCTAAACCCCTAATCACTCTCAAACACCCCCCACAACCACCCACCCCCCA